TGGTCCCTGGGGTCCTTTCCAAGCTCCCGGTCCCAGGATCTGCCTCCCTGTGCTCCCTCCCTCCCTCCTCTGCCCCAAACCTACCTCTGAGTAGCACAGGCTCTGCTCTTTGGACTTGTTTGGCTTCAGTCCTTGTTCCTGGGGAGGGGAAAGCAGGAAGGGTCAGGGCAGGAATGTGAGATGAGGTTTGGGGTCCCAGGTCAGGGCTCAGAGCCCACGGCTGGAGGTGAAGCACGACGAGAAAGGTGAGCAGGAGGAGGAGAGGGGCTCATCATCCCTTTTCCACAGGCGGCTCAGGGTCTTCACTGGGCTCCTGCCTTGCTCCCCCAGTGCTCCTGCTGAAAATCCTCCTGCTTTGCACACCCACTGCCCGCAGACCCCATCCCACTCCTTGACCACCCAGGGAGCAGAACATGGACCCACAAGCCCGACCCAGGGCAAGAAAACACACATTTCCCCTGTTTCCCAACCCCACGTGGAACCTGAGCTGGTTCCCACGGCAGAAGGGGGGCTCGGGGCAGCTCCCATCAGGCAGGTGAGGGCACCCATCCCTCCCTGCCCCATTCCCTCCTCCCTCGCCCACCTGGACGGAGGTGCAGGTGGTGATGACGCCCGTGTCGTACATGGTGTTGCTGTCGTTGACATCGTCGGGCAGGGCCGGGCTCTTCTCCGGCTTGGGAGGGGCCGTGACGGGGGGAGAGGGGTTTTTGGGGGCCACGTTCACGTCGCTCCCGTTGCCAAAGGCCTGGATGGCGTTTCCTGGGGGCGGGAGGGGGTTTAGTTGGGGGGGAGCTGCAGGCGATGCAGGATGGGGTGAGGAAGGCAGGGGGGTGGGATGGGGAGGTGCCTTACGGAGACAGGGGTTTTCCGTGAAGTCCCGCAGGAACTTCTCGCACTCCTCTTCCATGTTCCCACTGCCTTTGCAGGAGCACCAGGGCGAGATGGTGATGCTGGTGGTGCTGGCATCGACGTAGTTGGGGGTCATGTCGAAGCCTGGGGAGGAGGAGGAGGAGGGACAGGGGTGAAGCCACGGTGGGAGGGACCCCTGCCCGTCCCGAGGGCGGCACTCACCGATGAGCCCTGCGTAGGAGCCCAGGCACGCCTGGTAGTTGTCCCCAGGGCAGCTGGTCAGGGACTGGAAGGTGGCCTGGCAGTTGGTGTGGAAATCGGCCAGACGGGACCTGGAAGGGGAAGAGAAGAGGGAGAGGGAGGGGATTTCACTGCTGGTCCCAGCACGGAGCAACTGGGAAATATTTCAGCGGGATAAAGGGGGACATAAAGGGGAAAACAGAGGGGAAAAATAAAGGGGAACAGAAAGGGGATAAAAGGAAGGAGATCTAAAGAAGAGCTGGACTCAGGTGGTGAAACTTCTTGTCCCAGACTGACAGGGGGTATGGTTTGAAGGAGCCTGCCCTCATTCCTGAGGGAATGACCCCCCCCTCCCCAAGCCTGGGACCCTCATTCCTCCATCCCTCCCTGCTCCCCAAGCCCTCTCCAAGTGCTGCTCCACTGGCAGAGACCCCATAAAAGTTCCCAGCCTCAGTTTGGCCTCTCCTGGAGTCATTACGGGACCGGAAAATTTCACTGCCTGGATTTATCCTCCCCCTGGAACCTTCCAACTCGGAGTGCAATTAAAATGCCTGAGGTTGGGAATTGCAGTTTTCCTTTCTTCTTTTGAAGTCGAGGAAGAGGGGGGAGGGAAAAACAAACCCACAAGGAGCAGGGTTGGGGGGGGGAGAGAATTTAGTGTGAGGTGTCCCAACCCAAACACTCCATGATTCCACGATTATTTCCAGGTGTACCCACGATCTGGCCCCGCTGCCACAACCCCACCCCTCGCACACGATGCTCCTCGTGCTGGAACAGCAGGAGGGACCCCCGAGGTGGAGGATTGGAATTCCCAAAGGAGCAGGAGAGCAGAGCAGAGGATGGACAGATGGACAGAAGGATAGGCTGCAGATTCCCAGGGGGGACTCAGCCCGAGTCGTGGCCCCCTCTGGGTCTCCATCAGAGGGAGGAATCTCCGACACCGAGGATGAGCTCTGGCATTTCACAGAGGAAAAACTCCTCAGCTCCCTTTTTCCCAACCCCCCCCCACTTCACACACCAGGAGGAACAGGAATACATTATTTCCTTCAGCTTCCTTTCCTCCCTTCTTAATTAAATGTCAGCTTTGTCCAGGCGGTGATTGAATCTTCCAGCAGTACCTGCCTGGAGCCACAGGAGCCGATGGAAAACGAAGGCGAGAAATTGCGTTACTCCCTTTTTTTTTTTTTTTTTTTCTTTCCTTAAATAGGAATGATTTGTTTTCAGGAGGCTTTTGATCAAATTAAACGCAGGAACAAATGAAGCAGCGGCTGAATGGAGGAGCTGCAGCGATTCCTTCCACCCAGCCCCAGAATTCCTCGCTGTTCCAGAGCTCCAGGGACCACCGGAGTGCCAGGGGAGGAGCAGGAATGCTGGAGTTCCAGGGGCTGCATGCTAGGGAAAGGATGTGGGCACCCCATCCCCTGGAGGTGTTCAAGGCCGGGTTTGGAGCAGCCTGGTCTGGTGGAAGGTGTCCCTGCCCGTGGCAGGGGGTGGGATGGGATTCCTGAAAGGCTCCTTCCATCCCAGACCACTCCATGATTCTCAGATGGAGAGGGAATAAAACCCAGCTGCTCAGGGCTGGGCCAGCACACTGGATGCTCCCTGTGGGAATGCAGTGGATTCCTGGAGACTCTTGCAGGTGACTGAGGCTTTTTTTTTTTCCAGGCCATGAGGTTTCCCATCCACCAGTGCATCCAACTTGTGTGGAGCAGCTGAGCCCCTTTTGAAGTCTCCTCATGCTCTGGGGATTCCAGCACCACCCCTGGCGGAGCTGGGAGTTTGGAAAGAGCCACCCATGGGCTTGGCACCTCCTCTTCGCCGCTTCCCACGCAGGTCACACTCAGTTTTCACCTGCCAGAGGCACGAGCTGGATTATTTTCCCACTTCCACCAGCTCCGCCTGACCCATTTCCATCCTCCCGGCAGGCTGCGGATTTCCAGGGCAAGGTCGGCTCTCCAGCTGGGTTATCCAGGGGAAAACAGGACTCCTGGGCAGGACCAGCTCCTCTCCTTCCACCACCCACAACCAGGCAGCTGCTGATCCTTCCACGGCATCCAAGCCAGGCGTCACCTCGGCCAGTCTGGAGTCGCTGGGTGGGAGACTCAGTGCCAGGAACAAACCTTTGCTGGACCTGGCCCAGGGCTGCTCACAGCGCTGCTTTTAAAGTGCCCTGACTGAAAACAAATAAAGGAAAAGGGAGAGGAGAAGGAGCCAAGTCCAGCTCAAGCAGGAGCGGCAGGAACTGCTGCCAAACTGCTGGTTGGCAGCTCGAGGCAGCAGGTGGGGTCGGCCTGCAAAGGGCAGAGCTGGGCTGGGCAGGGATGGGGGAAGAGGTGTGGGGAGTGCAGGGCCCAGCAGGTTATTCTGCTGAGAGATCTCCAAAAAAAAAAAAAAAAAAAAAAAGGAATAAAAACCCCCAAAACGAGTGAAAAAGGTATTAACAAAAATTAAGTGTAGGCAGAGCCCAGCGCGTTGTTTTCCTGAGAGATTTCCAAAAAAAAACCCCAAAAACAAACCACACCAAAAAAACAAACAAAACAAAACACACATAAAACCCCCACAAGGAGTGAAAAAAGCATTAACAAGAATTAAAGTGGATGCATGCACACATATCCAGACACTGATCTCGCATCCCCAGGGCTGGGTTTCTCAGCCTGGGGGTTCCAAAGCGGTTTCTCCTCGCTCTTGTTTCTTTGGCTTCAGGTGAAGATGCCAAGAGGAGGCAGCTCTGGGGATCCTGCCATCCCAGGAGCAGCCCGGGATCCTGGGGAGATCTCAGCACCCATCCAAGCCCAGCAGCTTCCTGAATATTTCACGTCCAAGGTGCCGAGATCGCTCTGGATTTTGTGTTGTTGTTTTTTTTTCATGGTCAGTTTGCAGGGGGGAATAAAACGGCTTTAATAGATGCGAGCCCAGAGAGGCAGCCGGGAAACACGTCCATCCCCACACCCCTGCAGAGCAGGGGATGTTCAAGAAGCTGTGAGAACACACCAAAAAAAAAAAAAACCAAACCTTAAAAAACCAAAAAACCTGAGCGAGACATGAAAAAGCCGCGGGCCCGCTGGGCACCCTCCTCCCAGCGCCGGCTGTGCCTCGTGTCCTGCCGGAGAGGAAGCCTTTTGAAGCCGGGAGATGCTGAGATAAAAAACCAAAATTAAGCCTCCAACACGACAGAACAGCGGCCAGGTGGTTCAAAGAGCCCCCGGGGGGGGGATGGGGAGCAGCCGAGGGGAGGAGGGGAGATGGAACAGAACTGGGCTGTGCTGGATGACCCTCCACCAAAGGCAGCGAGCAGTTCATGGGGGAGGGGAAAAAAAAAAACAACACCAAAAAAAACCCCCCAAAAAGATCAATGGGTAGATTTGTTTGATGTGGGAAGAGCTCTGTGCCGGGCTCTGGGGAGTGGAGTCACCTGTCCCGGTGGGAGCCAGGGGGGGCTGAGTTGGGGTTTTAGTGGAAGCTGAATTTCTGCAGGGGCAGGAAGGGCAGGTGCTGCTCCCTCATCCCAAGTTCCAGGAGGAATTCCTTCTTGGAAAGGGCTGCCCAGGGAGGTGGTGGAGTCCCCGAGGAACGACTAGAACGCGGCACTCAGTGCTCTGGGTGGGGGTCAGGTGGGACTGGGAGATCTTGGAGGGCTTTTCCAACCCTCAGCCATCCCCGTGGTATCTGCTCCTCGCTCAGGGGTATGGGGACAGAAGGGGGAAAAAAAAAAAAAAGGCAAACCCCACCATAAACCAAAGGAAAAACCCCCAAATTAGTGTAGAGAGAGGTGAGCCAGCAAGAGAAGGAAAAAAAAATCAGGAGAAAAACCCACCCAACTTCCAAGTCAGGAGCCGTCAGTTGAGAAGCTGAGTTCTCATTTCAGGACACCACATTCCGATTCACCCCTGATAAGAGAGGCTCAAAGGCTCTTTTTTTTTTTCTTGGTGGGATTTTTATCCCCTTGCCTCTGCTCGAGCCCTATCATTACCCGGGGAGGGAAGAATTAAGCACACGCATCATTTGGTTTTAATTGAGGGCCTGTTCTATCCCATTGAACTGCTAACTAAGCCGAACAGGAGATTGTGTTTACACAAGCAAAGCCAGAGTCAGTATAGACTTGCTGTCACATTAAGTCAATACTTATGAAGCCTCTCGATTTAATTATTCAGCGAGAATTGACTTATTATTGTGTTAAGAGCCCCGGGAGCCTGGAGGGAGCCGAGCCCTCCCAGCTGCCTCCACACTGTGGGGTCCCAAGGGAGGGTCACCCACAGGGTGCTGCCCTGTCCTGCATCCCCCCCCATTGCCCAGAAATCCAAATCCACGGATCTTTAAAGGTTTTCTAATTTAAGGTTGGATTGGGAGTGCATCAGCCATGCCCTGTCCCCTCCAAAACTCCAACCATTGCCCCTCAAACTCCAACCTTGCCCCTTCCAAACTCAACCACTGCTCCTCTCCGCCACCTCCCAGAGCCGCTGCTGAATCCAGGAGCAATTTTTCCCTCCTCCTCCTCCTCCTTCTTCCTCTTCCCAGACAGCCGAGCCGTGCTCATTACAGGGAGTAATGAGAAAGTTGAGCTGCTGCTCCGCTGTTTATCAAGGAAACATCCATTATGGATGGCATTTTGTCTGTGCTAAACAAAGGCTGT